GGCTTTGAATCATGATCTGATTCCTCAGCCTCCTGAGTAGCTAGGATTGCAGGCATGAGCCACAGCACCTGGCACTAAGTGGCTTTTAGCCCAGGAAGATTAGAATGTATAAAGTATAAGTGATTACATTAGGTTTAAATTGGGTCAAGTTCAATGCTTTGGCCCATCAGTTCCTTCATTACCCGCCATGTTCCTGCTTCAGAAATGTAGCCCTTGTTCGTGATCCATGTGAGGGAGTAGTTGACTTCCATTCAAATTGTAAGTTAAAGAAATAAGAGTTTGGAAATCTCTGTAAATCTCATTAGCATATTTAAGAGAATTTCATAGTCACTTGGCTTATACTAAATTTTTATATCTGAAATTGCTCTGAAATCTTTTTTCTTTTTTTCTGGTCAGTCATGGGGCTTGAAATCAGGGCCTGGACACTGTTCCTGAGCCTTTTTGCTCAGAACGAGCACTCTACCACTTTGAGCCACAGCTCCACTTCTGATTTTCTGGTGGCTAATTGAAGACAGGAGTCTCACAGACTTTCTTTCCTGGGCTGGCTTCAAAGTGTGATCCTCAGATCTCAGCCAACTGAATTGCTAGGACTTCAGATGTGAGTTACAAGTGTCTGAGTTCACTGTGAAATCTTTAGGAAGGTTTTTTTGGTTTGGGTTTTTTTTTTCTTTCCACTATTCCATAAGAAAATGGAGTAGCAAAACTAGGGTTGAAGCTTAGCTGGAAGACTAACAAATGTGAGACCCTGGCTTGACCCCAAGAAAAAAATATTAAATTCCTAATTGTAGTTTAGCATATCTAGCCAATAGAAATGCAATGCAAACTACAGATATAATTTTAAATTCTCTAGTAGTTCCATTGAAAGTAGAGGAATAAGCCAACTTAATGCTAATCGAATTTTTTGAGTGTTCTGTTAAAATACTAGCATTTCAACTTGTGATTCACATGTAATTTATTAAGGAGAGTTATTGTATCCCTTCAATGCTCATCTTCACAGTCGGCTGTAAATGTTACACTGTATATATCTCAATTCAAACTACCACATATTACTTTATTATTATCTTGAAGTAGCTATTCAAAGTGGTTGCAATTCAACTTGTCAGTTTATGAGTGCAATGCATCTTATCAAGCTACCATGTTTTAAACACATACCTCTAGTGATTACTACATTAGACACCACAATCTTAAGGGAATTAATTAGCTACATCTGAACAAGACATCTATTTTTTTTAAGGCAGCTTCCCCTGTTTAGCTTGATTGACTCAAATATTAATCAACGGCTCTTGAAAGTCATTGTTAAAAATGAAATGAGCCGGGCACTGATGGCTCATGCCTGTAATCTGAGCTACTCAGAGGGCTGAGATCTGAGGATCATGATTTGAAATCAGCTTGAGTAGAAACACATGTGAGAATCTTATCTCTAATTAACCAGCAAAAAGCTAGAGCACCGGCCTTGAGGGAAAACTAAGGGAGAGCATGAGGCCCTGGGTTCAAGGCCCAGTAATGGTATTTTTGCTCCCTCAAAAATAAAAAAAAGTTGTAAATTGAATTTCCAAGTTAAGGAAATAGTCTTAATTTTTTTTAAAAATATTTTTTTTCTGTGCTTCAGATTGAACCCAGAGCCGTGGACAAACTGGGCAAATAATCTAGCACTGAGCCTCCGTTCCAGCTAGAAGACATTTTGTGTGTGTGTGTGTGTGTGTGTGTGTGTGTGTGTGTGTGTGTGTGTGTGTGTGTGTATGTGTGTATGTGTGTGTGTGTGCCAGTCCTGGGGCTCGAACTCAGAGCTTGGGTGCTGTCCCTTAGATTTTTCACTCAAGGATGGCCCGTACTACATGAATCATAGCTCCACTTCTGGCCTGTTGATGGTTTATTAAAGATGGGAGTCTCAATGACTTTCCCATCTGGGCTGGCTTTGAACCATGATCCTCAGCTCACAGCCTCCTGAGTAGTTAGGATTATAGGTGTGAGCCACTAGTGCCTGGCATGGAATTATTAATTTGTAAAATAAGCACGAGCTTCCTTTCAGCTCACAAAAGCAGCCCACAAGGTTCTCCTGGACCGCCCTGCACTGTGGAAGGTATTAGAGTCATAGACCTCGCCTGCTCTGGTGAGAAACACTCACTTCTCACACCGCATCATCGTCTCAGATCTGAGCAAGCCCTTCCAGGGCCCACAGCGCCATTCCACTAATGAGGAAGGAAAACGGAGCCTGGGTACCAGTGGAAGCAGAAGCAGAAGCAGGACTGGTACAAAACCTCAGGCCTTGACTTCATCTACCTACCACCATCATTGGCTTCTAGCTCATTCTCTCTGCTCTTTTACCCTCCCAGTGGCTGATCGGGAAACTGAGGTACAGAAGTGGAGTGTCCTGGACCTCGGCCACTGGGCAGCATATCAGTGAATTAGAGAACTGGGATCTCCAAGTCCCGGTCACCCGACGACATAAAGGACAAATCAGACACCAGCCCAGACCTCAGGCTGCCTGGGTGAGAAACGGGATTCAGGGAAGATAGCTGAGTGCCGAGACTGAGTACAGAGGAGGTCCACCAGTGCCCAGGAGGTCCAGATTTCACCAGCCAAGTCTTGCAAACAGAACCAGGCAGCCCACCCAGGATTTGGGCACAGCCCTTTGGACCAGATCCCCTCCTCTACTTCATTATCTCCCTCCCTCTCCTACTACTCTATATCATTTTTCTTTCTTTCCTTTGTCTCCCCTTTTCTTGGAATCCCGAATCACCCTTCCCCAATACAGCTGGCCCAACCATAGACCTCCGTCCCCCACGAGATCTGAGTCCATTGGGCCTCAGACTAGGTGAAGAGAAATGCTTAGACTTGGGAGCCAGCGCCTCGGCCTCCCTCACTTAAGCACTGCAGTGGGGGTCACGGGGCTTCTTTGGGGTGCAGTTCTCCTTCTGCCTCTAAAGCCCTTCCTGCAGGCCACCATTTCTCGGCGGGAAAGCATTGACCAGTCATCGCGAGAGTTTCAGGAGCAGCATGGACTGACGATCAGTCACATCAGTGGAAGGCCATTCCCCTGCTCAGAGTGCTTGGAACCCCCCTGAATGGTCATGAGAAAAAAATGACTTGGGAATGAGGATGCCTTTCTCATCTCCATGTCCCCTTTTAACAGGGTGGACTGTGGCTTCTGGCTCCAGGGCCTTGCTTGGCCCCCTTTCAACCATGAGCTACATGGGATCACAAACCGGTGTTGACCACCACTTTCTTTTTCTTCTTTATTTATGACAAAGAATAGCTGTTTTCCACTTCACAAAAGTGAGGTCGATTTTTCTCTCAATCTAAACGTGTATGAGTAACAAGAAACGAGTCAATGAGTCAACACCATTTGAAAAACATAGTAGAGACCACTGCGCCTGTAAGAGGAACGTGGGGGGGGGGGGGGTGACAAAGACCTGGGGTTTGGAGTAGATCCTGGGCCTTCCCTTGGGTCCACTGAATCTTGCCACACGCAGTGGCCCCGCTTCCCCCACAGGCACAGGTCTGGGCCCGCCAGCCATTGGCTCCAGGGCAGAGGATCTGGCCTAGCCCCGTTTCTCCTTCTCATTGGGCAACTGTGGATGGAGCTAGCCTGGGACATCAGTGGAGGTCATAACCAAGCTTTTGGGTCTCTGCTTAATCCTGAGAATCGCAGAGTGGCCGGCGGTGATGTAGAGGAAGAGGGCCTTGTCCATCATCTGCCCTCAGCTCAGGGTAGAAGGCAGCTGAGTCCCTAATGCTACTTTTTTAAAAATTCTGTTACCTGGGCTTGAACTCAGGGCCTGGGGGCTGTCCCTTTGCTTTTTTACTCAAAACTGGTGCTTAACCATTTGAGCCACAGTTCCACTTCTGATTTTTTTGGTAATTAATTGGAGATAAGAGTCTCACGGGCTTTCCTTCCTAGTCTGGGATGGAGTGATGATCTTCAGATCTCAGTCTGCTGAGTAGCTAGGATTAACAGGCATAGAGCCACTAGTGCCTGGCTGGAACTACTGTGTTTGGAACCTACTGGTCAAGTTGAGGCCTCGGCCTTCGGGGCCGAAGCCATGCAAATCCCACTCCCAGCCTCAAAAGACTTTCCCAGAACCATCTCAGAACACCTGCCCGAGATGTAGACAGAGGGGAGACATCTCAGCACCCCGCATACTTGCCCTCAGCCTCTCAGCCAGCCTAATGCCCCTTCCAGGCCAGGCCTTCCTGGGTCCCACAGGCAACAAACTGAAAGCACTCAGCCACCCCATCCCAGGGCCTCCCACCAACTGGCCAGGCCTCAAATTCCATTTCCCTATCAGCTCCCCAACTCTGTACATGAAAGCCCACCTGGGGCAGGATTCTGGGTCTCTGAGCTATTGCCCAGCCGTGACCAGCATGGCCTCTGCACTCTGCGGGGCCCAGCAAGGGTCTAGTGCACACAATCCAGGGGCGCCTTGGTCCTTGGCCGATACCTCAGCACTCGGGGAAGCTCATGATGGTGCAGGTGGCCCTGGAGATCGTTCCTGCTCAAACGAGCACCCCTCTGTAAGTGTACTAAAGCCACCAGTGACTAGCTAGTGGTAGCTCTTTGGGACCTCCTGTTCCTGGGACTTAGTGAACCCCAAGCTTTGGCCTTGATTTTGAAACTATGCCTTTCTGGTCCTGTCCCTGTGGAAGGTGAAGTTTCTTTCTGTGAGTTGGCACGAAATGGGGGAGGGAAGAGTCTCTAAGCCCGTGGGTGGGACTTGTGCCCCTCTCCTCAAACATCCTTGAAAAGACACAAAGGTCACTGCCCATGGCAGCTCTCAGGAGGTCTCTGAGCACGGGGTACTGTCCAGCCAGTCCTGGTCCTCAGGGGAGTTCCTGCTCACCCTCCCCCACCCCCTCCACACAGTCCAGACTATTGTCACAACCAGGGTCCCCTGTTTCCCTAGTGTGACCTTGGCTAAAAATCCCAGAAAGGTAGCCAGAAAGAGGCCAAGTAAGTGGGACCCATGTCCCTGCGTGCCTGAGGTGACAGAAAGGGCTACCTGTGAGGGTGGTCGCCAGCAATCCCGTGAGCCCGACGAAGAACCACATGGCTGCTGTCATCTCTGAGCATCACACGTCCCTGCCCCGGGGAAGGGCCATCCTGGGGCCAGGAGACGGACACTGTGTGCCTGTCACCCTGGTGCCCTCTTTGTTCCCGTGGGTGTCTTTGTCTCCGCCCTGCTCTGCGGCCTGCGAGTATCTCACGCTTCTGCTTGTGGTTTTGATCTCCAGGAAGCTAGGCTGGTGTTACTGAGGCTGGGGTAGGGAGGAAGCCCCAGATGCCTCTACCATGAGCCCACCCAGCCCAACTGAACACACACACACAGCTTCCAAGGAAAGCAAAGGGAAGTGAGATGCTGTGCCTCCATTCTGGTTGACCCAAGGGCACACTGGCTCATAGTAGATGCTAAGCCAACACAAGCTACAAGAGCAAACGAATGGCACCCTGTTAACCTCTCCATAGAACCGACTCTTATGGGACTCAGTCCCAAGTTTTCCCTTCTCCTCGGGCCACGGTGCTGAGGAGCAAGAGGGCTGTGGTCGTAATGCAAGGCTGTGGTCCTAATGCCACATTCAGGAGACAACAGCCTAAGTTTTCCACCAGCAGAAGTGACGACAAAGAACCTGAGAGAAAGCCAGGCTCTGGTGGCTCACACCTTAAATCCTAGCTACTCAAGAGGCTGAGATCTGAGGATGGAGGTTTGAAGCTACCAAGCCAGGTAGGGAAGTCTATGAGACTCTTGTCGCCAATTAACCACCAAAATGCCAAAAGTGGAGTTATGGCTCAAATGGTAGAGCACTAACCTTGAGTGAAAAAGCTAAAAGACAATACCCAGGCTCTGAGTTCAAGCCCTGAGAACACTTATGTGCTTTCTTTCTTTCTCTTTTTCTCTCTCTCAAAAGAACCAGAGAGAAAGTGGTCCTCCCTGAGGGTTCTGCAGGAGAGGCAGACTCCACTCAACTACAAGCTGTCCACAGATGGCACAGAAGGTCTAGCTGAGTACCAGCTGGGTGCCCTCTGTGGGAATCAACATGCTCTAAGCAGATGGGGGGTCTTTGAGCCACAAACATGACAGGGGCAAGTTGCTGGTGGAGGGTGGCAGGGGCTGTCTGGGAAATGCTTCATGGTCCCGTTGGATTGCGGTGAATGACTGGGTAAGAAAGAGATGGGAAGAAGCAGGTTTGATTCAGCACTGCTCTCCTCTGTTGCATACACTAAGTGCTGAATAAATGCTTGCTGAGAAAAATGAAGGAATAGATCATTTTGGCTCTCCAGGCAGAACTGTGGAGTCGAAGAAGGAGCTGATTCTCCATTCTAGCCCTGCCTGGAAGGATCTAGTCTTACGGCCCTCCGACTTCCCCCTCCACCTGTGGAATGTCATGGATTCCTCAAGATGAATCAATTATTTGATTGGCAGGTTTTGGAGTCACCTGGAGCCAGGCCCCACCCACCGGAAGGCCATACCAGGCCCTGGGTGGGTGGGGGTCTGGAGGGGTAGGATCGGCTTGGGCAGCAGCTGCGACTGCCCTCTAGTGGAGAGTTACAGTCATGGGCAGCACAGGGGACTCATGGGTAGATCCAACAGCTGGATTCAATTCCACTGTTCTCCAGACTTGGGCATATGGATTTCTGGAATGAACTGCATGAAAGGGGAGAGAGGAAACCAGCTTCCTGCCCTCAAGGAGCTCGCGGCCCACAAATCCAACGGACCATCAGAGACCAGGGGAAGGTGACCACAGGAAAGGTCTCCTGGTCCTGAGGAAAACACCTTTGAAACAGACCAGAGGGGATGGAGACTTCTATTCTTGACAATAGGGTAGAGAGCCTTTGCGGGAAATTGTCCTGATACAGAACACCAGCGAAAATTATTTTAAACTATTTTGTGCTGCTGTCCTATAGCATATTTTGCTCCAGGCTAGTGCTCTACCACTTGAGCTCCACTTCCAGCTTTTTGGTGGGTCATTGGAAATATGACCCTCACAGACTTCCCTGCCTGTACTGTCTTCAAACAGAGATCCTCAGATCTCAGTCTCCCAAGTAGCTAGAGCTACCAGTGCCTAGCTTTCAACGTTTTTTCTTGTTTTTAAAGCACAGTTGGGATGGCAAGAAATGTTAAAAAAAAAAAAAAAAATCAACAGAGGTCAAACATGACCGGGAAGGCAGAGGTGGTTGTGCAGCCGCTGCTGCTCTTGAATGGCCATGAAGTTCAGAATAATGGTCCTGGATAAAACAGACCAGGCTCTGCCGGGGGGGCTCTGAGCTCACCTTGAATGCTCTAAGCCCTCCAAGCCCTCCCTTCCCCTGCTGTGCCCCACATGAGTCTGGAAGTAGAATTCATTCACGATACCTCCAACCCAACAAGCACACATGATGTAAGAATTTAAACAGCAGTGCCCTATGTATTTGGCAGGGGGAAATGGCGGACATCCTTCCTAGTGAAGTAAGGTCACGTCTGGTGGGTACCATATTGGCCACATGGTGGATGGTAAGGTCTGGCATCTTGTCTTCATGCTGGGGGAAGGAATCACCTTCTCCTATCACCTGCCCCTCAGGTGATGGGTGTGCCCAGATCCCTGGAGGTAGGGGAGGGCACTTGGCTGATAGGTTACTGAATCTGTCAGTTCAGTGACTGGGACTGGGAATTTCCTGTAGACCTGTTCTTCCCCCCACCCCCCACCCCCCCCCACTCTGCCTGCACCAACCTATTTAGGCCCAGACAAGACTAGCTGCCATCACGCCATGCTATGTATGTCTCGGTGATTCTGCTGGTGATCCTACCCTGTGTCTTGTCTCCTGGCTTATCTCTGGGCATCATGGCGTCCCAATTCAGCTCTCCATCAGAGCTGAATGAATTGGCTTGTTGGTGTTGTTTGTGTCTTTCTTTCTATCTGGCCTGTTGCCTAGCTGTGTTATGTGTATTTGAGGCTGCAGGCCTTTGTAACAACTAATTGCCTGCAGCCTGCTAACTGTATAATAAAGACGCCAATACTCCATCTTTCAAAATGCGGCTTCTGGAGTAATTACACCTTACAACACTAGAGTTACTCACCTTAAGCTCTGGCCTCAAAGATTTCCCACAGAGAAAAAGATCCAAGGAACATGAGCTTGAATGAAAAAATGAATTGTAAAACAAAACAGTTGACAATAGACTGAGATCTTCAAAAACTTGAGATGTTGGAGTTATGGTATACGGACACATAAAATAAGAATTAAAAGTTGGTAGTTGAAGGTACAGAAAATGAGTAGACTTTATTAAAACTGATCAGGGAACACTGGAACAAGATAAGTTATACAGGTCTCTAGGCATTCACACACAGTGAGACTGAAGGAGGATATTCTTAGGGGAAGAACACAAAGGCACAATGCCTATGTGTATCTGATCATATAAAATAATATTTATCTAAGATGAACTCCAGGAAATGGAGACAAGAGGTCTTTTCCTTGTTGCTATTTTCATTTTCTTTTCTGTCTTGTTTGTTTGTTTATCCGTCTTTGGGAGGGAAAGGAAGGACACAGAAATGGGGGGGACAAAGGGTAAACAAATGCAGCTGTGGTACTCACTAGATACTATGTTGAAAATGAACTGTGCATCTTGTGGGTGGGAACGGGAGGGAAAAACTGGGAGAGGGGGGAGGGATGACATTGTTCAAAAAGAAATGTACTCTATGACCAGATAAGATGAAGTTAAGTGAAATGAACCCCAAGATAGAGACACAAGTGGTTTTTTTCTTTCTTGCTATTGGTTTTAACGTATTTATAAGGTACCATGTGATTTTTTTGTTGCTTTGTATGTTCCTCCCCCACGTATAACCCCTGTTTTCACTGTATTTGATGTTGGTATAATTTGGAGAGAGGAAGGGAAAAAACAAAATGTTTAAATAGGGATACAGGTGGACCCATTGCAACAATGAGATGTACAAGACACTATGTTGAAAAATGAACTTTACAACGTGTGGGGAGGGAGAGTATAGTTGTGGAGATGGGAGGGAAGGAATAGTAGAGGAAAAACAAAGGAGGAGGCAACAATGCTTGATAAGAAATATACTCATTACCTTGCTCATGTAACTGTAACTGCTCTGTACAGTATTTTCACAATAAAAAAATAAAAAAAGAAATGTACTCATTACCTGACTTACATAACTGTAACCAGACCTCCATACATCACCTTTACAATAACAACTTTTAAGTTAAAAAAAATGATCAGAGAGACTGGCAAACATTAAGTAGTACTTGTATAAACAATATATATATATATATATATATATATATAATGGAGAAAAATAGCATTTCAATGGCCAGATTAAACAGAAGATTGACTACATGAAGAGAGAATTCAGAATCTGGAAAGTTGCTCTGAAGAACTTAACCCAGAATATATCACAGAAACAGAGACATAGAAACCCTGGTACTGAGGTTCAGAGGCAGCAGGGAAGAGCTTGGGTCTGTTTTTATCAGTGCTTCAGAAGAAAATGGAGAAATTTCCAGCATGGATGAAAGACATACTCCTCAGATCTTCCTAGAGAAGATTCCTCAACCCCAACATAATTTGAATTTTACAAAAGTCTACACCAGGCTTGCCTGGTGGGAAAGCAGCTGCTCATTTAGAGGGATGATGGATGAGTTATGAAGTAGACAGGCAGTTAATGTCTCACTGTCCGCAACTGAAGCCAGAACTCAAACAGTTAACACCTCAAAGTACTAAGAGAAAAGCTTACGTGTTGGAAATTGAGTCTCCAAGTGCATACATTGATGCTATTTGACGGTGCACCTTTACAAAGTGATTAGGGTTACAGGGAGCCACAAGGGCGGGATCCCCTGCTCCAGAAAGGGAAACTGTAAGAAGAGGAAAGATCTCCACTTCATGCCTTGTGGTTCTTGCCTCTTATCACATGATACCTTCCACCATGGAAGGTTTCAACATGGCCAGATGGCCCTCACCGGATCCCAGCTTCTTTACATTGGATTTCTCAGCCTTCAGAACTAGGAGAGATGAGTTTGTCCTTCTCCAGCCTGTGACATTTGCTAGCGCCACAGAAAGTGGACCAAGGAAGAAACATTTCCTGACCAAAAAAAGCCTGAGAACATTTACAGCTAAATGAATAGACCTTCTCCTAAAGGAATTTGTGAGAATCTTCTTCAAGAATAAGGAAACAAAACCAGGCGCCAGTGGCTCAT